CCCAACTACCCACCCACACATCCATCCATCTAACCATCCACCCACCTAACTACCCACCCACACGTCCATCCATGTAACCACCCACCCACCCAACTACCCACCCACACGTCCCATGTTTCCCCACTCCCCAGGCTGTATCTTTCGCATAGCATGTAGCCTCTGGCCCAAGACCTTTGCATGCTGTGTGCCCTTGGCCTGGTATGTTCCTTCCTAGATTTCCTGATAGCTGCTTCCCCAACTTGGTTGAAATTTTACTGTCAGTGAAACCCTCCTTGGCTATCACACTTTAAAAATCCACCCTAACCTCCTGCTCTTTCTTCGTCAGGCTCCAGATCACCCATCCTGACCTTATTTACCAGTTTGACCCCGCAGGTCACTTCAGGTTTTGTGCCCTTCCCCATTCTGAAGGATGGACGTTTTTAAAGTCATTTACTCAACAAACGCCAGAGGGTGGGATGGTAATTTCCAGTGGAAACAGCCAACTAGCAAAGATGCTATCACAACACCAGGTAGCCAGAAAGACAGGGCAAGGAGATGGCTGTGCTGGCCACACACATAAGACACGTCCAACCCTGCGCTGACTGAGAGGTTTTTTTTTTTTTTTTAGCAGAAATCATTCTTTCTTAAAAGACGTGCCTACATTTGAGCCTGTACACCTTGTGCACCCACAGAGGTCAGAAGGGGCATCCGGGTCCCTGGAGCTGGAACCACAGACAGTTGGGAGCCGCCACATGGAGGCTGGGAACTGAACCCTGGTCCTCTTCAAGAGCAGCCGGTGCACTAACCGCTGAGCCACATCTCCAGTCCCTACTTCTCTATATTGCATGTAGGAAGGCATACAGTATACACACAATACATATGCCCTGTGTGAAGGTTCTCATATTTATGAGTATCACACGCTAGATTTCAATATTTATATGAATATATTTTTCTGTATGATATGGCAGTACACATGGGGCACACCTGATAGAGCTCTGCATTTTATACACTTATAAGATTAAAAGACACAAAATACATGTAATACAGAAACTTGCAAAACTACCCTCAAGCTCTGTGGACTCACACACTAATGCACGTCTGATATGCAGAATGACTCTTGTATGTCGGGAAACTGAGGCAGGGAGTGGCAAGTAATCCACATGACTAATGGCAGATGTGACCCTTAGTGGTGCGAATGAGCAACCGGAAGTCGAGGGCGACAGTAGCCACTTCACGCGGTCCCATGCCGCCGCCGGCAGCGCAGCAGGTGGGGTGCGCACGTGCAGTACCTTGAGGAAGGCCTTGGCTGCGCGTCGGCAGGCCTCATAGTATTCGATGTAGGTGAGCAGCTGCCAGCTCTTCTTGTACTTGGAGCCTATCGCCAGGTAGTGCGAGTACTTGGTGGCAGCACTCATGATTAGGTCGGGCACGGTGACCGGAGGTTCATTCTCCACATTCTTGCCCATGCGCAGCTTTACCTCGCCATCAAGCTCTGTCGTCCAGTAGCAGCTACCTGTGGCAGGGTCAGAGATCACTCCATGGGACAGGAGGAGGGATGGTGGTCACTGTCCCCAACACAAGAGGGCATGGGGTCAGAGATCATTCCTTCCCCCCACTCCATGAAGGTTGGACCATAGAGGTCAGGGGTCACTGTCTCCAAGCCCTCCAAGGCCAAAGGACAGGAGGGTTGATGTTCCCTGTCCCCTGACCCACAGAAAGGAGGACATGGAGTCACGGCAACTACGACCACAGGTCGACAAGGTCTGGATAGTTGGTCGTCTGGCCACAGATACCATCCTTCCCCCGGTACAGCTGCCCCCTTCACAAGGTCTCACCCCCACTGGCCTCCTACCTGGGGCCTTCGTCTCTGCGTCTTGAGGTCTTTGTGACTTCTTCATTTTGTTGTAGATTTTGGTCTTCAGAATGGCTTTTGCTACATGGATGCTCCCACCCTCTGAGTCACCATGTTCCTTAGGGTCAGACATCCTCTTGCCAGGGACCAGGCACACGGGTGTTCAAACAAGGTGACAGGGGTCGGGTTGTGGGGGGAGTCAGGTGTACACGGCAGAGGTCCTTCCCCTCACAGAGTTAAGTAGACAGTGGTGGAGTTGGCCCGGCAAAGATGGGAGAACCTACAGACCAGCTATGGGTGCTGGCACGGGAGACGAAACAAACTGGGTGTTAGCGAGGGCATCTCCTGCGTGGGAGGTGTGTGCAGGCGTGTTGCGGCCAGAGGTTGGAGGCGTGTGTCTTCCCTAGCCACATCATCGGTCCCCACCATGCCCCCGACCCCAGCCTGGAGTTTGCCTGTCGTTGTTAGCTGCCAGTGCGAACTAGGGCTCCTCTCACAGGGGTGTGCTTTTACCCGGGGGTGGGGACTGAACTCAGATCCTCAGTTGAACAGCTAGCTACAGGAGACCCTGGGGAGGAAGAGACAAGAATGGGGTTTCTCAGTACCTTCTGTGCCTAGTGGACTGCTGCCAGGCGCTTCCTGAGAGAGGCTGGGGCTCATGGGGCCTTCAGCCCTCCCTCTCCCCACAGGCTCTCACTGCCTTGTCATCGGTAGGGCTAGGGCGGTGGTGACTCCGTCTGGCTCTGACACCGCCTCCTGCTTTAGCCACAGAGACTTCAAGCACCCAGACTGGATGTCTTCCAGAACAATTCCCTTCTGCAGCCCAGCCCTTATGACATCACTGCGTTCCATGAGCCAGGGCCGCAGTGGCAATGTGGCCCAAGGCCTCTTTTCAAGAAGCTAGCTTTGGGGGAACAGGAACAGGTGCAAGACAGGAGACTTTGCCTAACCGCCACCAGCCAGGGAGCTCCCAAGGCCCTGGTCCCCAAAGGCTGGTGGCAAAGTTTTGGGCTCTGGTCTGACAGCCTGTGGGACTCCAGTGTCCCAAGGGCATGTCGGCCTACATGAGATCCTGTGTCATAAAAACGTAGAATGGCCCTGTGATCTTGAGTCCCCCTTCTGGGCATTTGCCAGAAACCATCAAAAGAAGGGACTTGGGGATGTTCCATATCCACACCCATGCTGCAGCTACCCAGGCCCATGCTCACTGAGAGATGAGGGAGGGAGGGTGTGGGCCCTCCAATCTCCACCCCAAAAAGGAGCAGCAACAACACATGTCCCAGATGAGGGCACGCACACCACTTGTAGGCTCCTTGAGCGAGTCACAGACAGGAAGTGCTTGGAGGGGTCCTCGGAGGGGAGGGGGTTGGGGCAGAGCTTCAGTGTGGCGAGATGGAAGGCAGGTTCTGGCACCAGACAGTGACGGGGTTACACGGTGTGAAGGTGTTTTGTTTGTGTGAGGCAAGGTCTCACTTAGTTGGGACTGCCTTCTAATTCCCAGTGTCCAAGGATGACCTTGAACTGATTCTCCTGCCTCCACCTTCTCTGGTATTGGGACAGGTGTGTGCCACCACGCCCAATTTGTGTGACATTTGAAGTGGGCCTGGGCCTTGTTCATTCTGCGCAAGCACCACCCACTGGGCTACAGCCCCAGATGCGATGGTAGATTTGTGTGTGTGGGGGGGGGGTATGTGTGTTTGCTTTAGGACTCCCAACAGGTACTTGAATGGGCCTGTCTGGTTTCATTCATATTTCTAACCTGTGTAAGGCACAATGCCCAGCCCTGGAACTGTAAAAAGAAACATAAACAAAAACCTCACAAACACAAATGCATGAACGAGAGGGTGGGTGAGTAACTGGCCAGGTGAGTAGATAAGTAAGTATGTTGCAGGGTGAATGCCTGGCAAAGGGAGCCCACGCTCCCCCTTCCCCGGAAGCACTTTCCTCCTACAGCTGGGTGCAGGAGAGGATGGCTAGTGATGTCACAAGGGGTGACCTGAGTGGAAGGTTCCAGAAGCCTGAATGGGGTAAAGGCTTTGTGGAGCAGGAAAACCCCATCTACTCTAGTCCCACCCTCCACTATCACCATCACCCTGGCTAGACTGAGGGCATGACCAGGGCTTCTGGGGCGACCCGCCGCTGACCAACTCTGTGCAAGGAGGAATACCTGGGTGACCAGATGTCTCCATTTGTGACCCCTGGCCACCTCGGCCAGAGTGGCATCTTGTGAAGGATGGCGCTTGGTAAGGTTCCCGCGACGATCCCCGCGTGGGGCACGTGACCGTTTCAGAAGAGAACCCACACTAGGGAAGGCAGAAGTTCAGTGTTCCCCACAGAGGGAAGATGGCCTTGAACTTCTGAGGCTCCTCTACTTGCTCACAGAGTGAGGCTTGAGTTTAGGTTCCTAGACACACACAACAGCCAGGCACGGTGGGGCCCTCCTGCAAACCCAGGACCTGCAGTGTCAAACAAGATGCCCTGTCGTGGGTGCTGTAGCAGGGTGCATTGTCCTGAAGTCTGTGGGAGTACATGGGCAGTGTCTGAAACCACTGTGTACGTGTGTAGAAGCCAGAGGTCAGCTTGACTGCCGCCCTTCCGGCACCGTTCACCCTGTGTTTGGAAACAGTGTCTCTCCTAGAACCGGAAGTTTGCTAAGTGGATCGGGTGGCTGGCAGTGAGCCCCAGCAATGCCCCTGTGTCTGCCTCTCCAGAGGGGGGTTACAGATGCATGCCGCCACACCTGAGACTTGGCATGACTGCCGGTGTTTCCAACTCTGGTCCTTGTGCTTGGGCTGCACACATTCTCCCACAGAAACATCGCCTCAGACCAACCTTGCTCTTGAACTCTGTTTTGTTTTGTTTTGAGACAGGGTCTCTCTGGGTAGCCCTGCCCATCCTGAAACTTTCACCTGTCTGTAGACTAGGCTGGCCTTGAACTCACAGAGACCCACCAGCCTCTGCCTCCCTAGTGCTGGGATTAAAGGTGTGCGCCACCACCGCCTGGCAGCTTTTTATATTTCTAACCTTGTGGAGAATTAAATGTTTTGATTATTGTTATTGTTCAAGAGCAGGTCCTGCGGCATTGTTCAAGCTGCCTGTGACTCTCATCACCGCCTTCCAGACAGCTGTGGTCACAGCACGCACCTGCCTAGCGACAGACTTTTACAACTTACTTTATTATCTGTGTGTGTGTGCCTGTCACAGGTGTGCCACTGCGCACGTTAGATGTCACAGGACAACTTGGGGCAGTTTTTCTATCATGTTGGTCCGAGGGATTGAACTCCCTACAAGCTGTCTGGAGGGGCCAACGAAAATTCTGAGAAAAAAAGAGAGGAGAGGAAAGGGATGGAAAGAAGAGGGAAAGGAAGAGGGGAGAGGTTTCTGAGATCCTCACCGCTGAATACCTTCTAACTTAGAAATCATTCCGGGCTGAGACTACACAGTCCTGAGCCAGGGTCTAGGAGACATCGCAGCGGACTGACAGCAGTTGGCTTCTCTGCTCTTCTTGCCAAATTTCATCTGTTCCCTCATTGGCTCAGTGCCTGTGCAGTGTGTGACGCATACTTCTTGTGACCTGGAAAGACTGAACCACCAATGGCTCAAGAAAAGAAGGTGGAGGACCCCGAGAAAGGCATGGATGCCACCCCAGGTCTGTGATAGCCAGGGAGCACTGGGGAGGGGGTAGACGCCTCGGCCTGAAGGGCCATATGGCCATCTCAACCAAGCTTGTCTGGCCTGCTGGGCTATCTCAGTCTTCCTGGTTGGGTATAAAGTAGCAAGCAATTGGCAGTTTGAAGTTTGGTCACTTGGGTCACAGGTGACACCTAGGGGCCTTTGTCACTTACGGAGTGTCTAGCTTCTGGTGTGATGATAAGACTGGCCTAAGAGGGAAGAGGGTCAGCTGAGGTGGGTGACCCCACGTCCCAGACGTGCCACAGGCACAGTCTGGACAGCTCCCCACTGAGGTTTGCCAGGCTAAATAGTGTCAGTTGACAAAACTAATCACGCAGATACTTTTTTCTTTTTTTCTTTTTTCTTTTTTCCAAGACAGAGTTTCTCCATGTAGCCAACCTTGAACTCACAGAGATCCACCTGCCTCTGCCTCCTGAGTGCTGGGATTAAAGGAGTGTGAAACCACTGCCCTGCTCACACAAATACTTAAAAAAAAAAACCAGACTATATGGGGCTGGAGAGAGGGTTTGGTGGGTAAGATCCCTGGCTGCTCTTCAGAGAGCTTTGGTTCCCTTCCCAGACCTGTGTGGTAGTTCAGGATCGCCTGTAACTCTCTGACGCCCTTGCCACACCCTCATGGGCATCAGCCACAGACATACATTCAAACACAACGTTCTTGAACGTAAAATTTGAAAAAAAAGATTGTGTGCGTGCATGTGCATGTGTGTGCGTGTGTGTGCCCGTGAACATGATCACACACATCTCCACCATGAAGAGCTGACAGCACCTATGTGTTGAGACAGTGCCAGGGTGTGGGTGACATCCCAGGAGCCATTCCTGTTAGTGACTTGTGGTCATCATGCAGGGACCACGAGATGCACTGAACAAACCTCAGGGTCAGTGTGTGATCTGAATGGCTCTGCTTACCCCTGCACCAGCCCTTCTCAAAGGGGTTGGGGTGAGTGGCAGCTTCTGTGACCCCTTCTCCAGCAGTCCTGATCTTGCGAAAACTCGTCTCGGGGCTTGGGAGATGACTTCACAAGCATGGGGGCCTGAGTTGGACCGAGAGCCCATGGCCACATGCAGTGGCTCCTGACTGCGACCCCAGCACTGAGGAGGCAGAGACTGGAGGGTTCCTGGGGCTCCCTGGCTCCAGCCCAACCAGTCAGGGAGTTTGGGTTCAATGAGAGACCCTGCCTCAAAACACAAGGTGGAGAGCAACTGAGGAGGACACAGCTCTTGACTTCTGGCCTACCTGTGCACCTGTATATATACGCACTCATTCACACAGATGTGTGTACACAGGTACAGGTATCCACACGTTAGCACATGACCATCAACACACATGTGCAGATACACATGCATACACATACCGTCAGCCATGTAACACTATTCTTGGGGGAACCTGAACAAATACCTACTCACCCTCTTTATGTGACCAGAAAGACTTTTCCCGAGGAGCTGCAGCACTCAGGGCCACTCCCAGGTAGGGAGCCCACAGCAGACCAAGTACAGACACCACCCAAGTCCCACTTGGTGGACCGTGAGCTTTACTGGGGTCACTGACAGGCCTGTGGGTGAGGAGAGACAGCTGCACCCCCAAGGACACCCCTGCGAGGGTGACAGCTCACAGAGCTGGGCACCTGGAGCACACTGCACAGCCTGCAGGCCACAACAGGCTGGAGAGCATCCTTTGCAGATGCCTCAGCTGCTCTGAGCCTCCTCCAGGCAGCTGAGCGGCTCTAAAAGCATCTCTCGGCTGTCCTCACCACTATACACATCTGCGAGGGTCTTAGCTAGGGTGCTGGTTACTGGGATAAACACCGTGACTAGAAGCAACTTGGGGGGGAAGGGTTAATTTCATCTTACAGCTCATAGTCCATCGTGAGGGAAGTCAGGGCAGGAGCTGAAACAGAGGCCCCAGAGGGTGTTGCTTATTGGCTTGCTCCCCGTGGCTTGCTCAGCCTGTTTTCAGGAATACCTGCCCAGGGAGGTGCCACCCCAATTGCCTGGACCCTCCCCATCAGTTACTAACCTAGAAAGTGCTACCCAGACTTGCCTATATGCCAATCTGATGGAGGCATTTTCTCAGTCCAGGTTTCTCTCCCCAGACACGTCTAGGATTGTGTCAGCTTGACAAAAACCAACCAGCATACAGAGGGAGGAATTGGTGAACCTAGTCAGTTTCAGGGACTTCCTGAAGGTTCTGAATGGTTTACTTCTGCATTCATGAGCATTCTGGGCATGGCAGAGTGTTTTAATCTACTCAATACAATGTCCATAAACACACATACTGCAGGCCACTCCCCTCCAGCTTGGAGTTCAAGTCCTCCACGCTCTGCTGATGCTCTGTGGCCCGGGACCTCCCCTCTGGCTTCTCTGATCCTTGGTGCATTGGTCACTTTCTGTGATGCGATGATACCACGACCTAAGGCAACTTAAGGAAGAGTTTATTTGGTTTGCGGTTCAGAGCAAGAAGAGTCTATGCAGGGACAGAAAGCTGAGAGCTCGCATCTGGAGCCACTGGCAGGAAGCAGAAAGCAAAGCAGAAGTAGCAGTCTGCCCCAGTGACGTACTTCCTGCAGCCGGGCCACACCTAACCACTCCCCAAACAGTACCAGAAACAGGGACCAAGTATTCAAACATATGAGCTTATGGGGGCCATTCTCATTCAAAATACCCAAGAAGTCAGACAGGACAGGAACCTGGAGGCAGCAACTGTTGCAGAGGCCACAGAGGGTGCTGCTCACTGGCTTGCTCCCCACGGCTTGCTCAGCCTGCTTTCAGGACCATCACCCCAGGGATGGCCCCACCCACCATGGGCTGTGCCTCCCCATCAATCACTAATTAAGAAAATGCCCTATAGCCAAACCTTCAGGTGGCGTCTTCTCAATCAAGGCTCCCTCCTTTCCGCAGACTCTGCCATGTGTCAAGTCGACACAAATGTAGCCAGCACCTCTCTGAAGCCACAGACAAAGAATCCAGGCTTCGTTCACTCCTGCCTGCATCCTTTGTCCTTTCAAAGTCAGCCCCACACGGTCCACTGTGCTACCAGCCTGGGTCGGACAGCTCCCTGGGACCACAGCAGCTTCAGTTTTCCCATCCATCTCACCAGGAGTTAGAGCTCAGCTGGGTGACGTGCGCCCTGAGGGCCCTCCCTTGGATTCCAGTGGGGGGGGGGGCGGGGGGGAGCCTCTTCCCCAGCACCAGCCTGCAGGGCAACATCGAGTTTCCTGGCGCTCTTTTTCTTTGCACACTGCACACGTTGAAATTCTCGCTGCCCCGCCCACTCTTTCTCATTTTACGGAGAGCGATCTGGTGGTTACAAGACAGAGCTCGCATCATGCTTAAAGCCTCCTGCAACAAAGAGAGGAGTTCTTACTTTAAGTTGTTTGTGTTTTGCTTGTGCATTCACACCGATTACAGTTAAGTCCAAGGTCCCTGCAGGGGATAGGCTCATTTTCCACTTCCTGGCCTCCAGGATCGTGCGCTGATGTTGTAGCCTCCCAGCCTCAGAGGTGCCATCATAGTGAAGGAAAACACACCGAGGCACGGTTTGAGAGTTTGAATCTTGATCCAGCTGTGGGGATTTGAGTGCGAAGTCTCCCTCATGGTCCAGTCCGGGGCCTTGTAACTCGGGTCCCCCCCCAGCCGGTGCTGCAGGAAGGGTGTCACAGGGCGGCCTTTAACCCAGGAAGGCCTGTGCTGCTCCCGATGTGCCCTGTACTTCATTTGTATTTTAATTAATAAAACTTGCCTGAAGAAAATAGTAAAACAGCCGCCCTGGTCAGCCTTACAGACCAGGCACTGGCAACAAAACCCCTTTAATCCCAGTAGCCACACTAGTTTGCCATAGAAACCGAGCAGTGCGCGCCTTTAATCCCAGTGGCGCATGCCTTTAATCCAAGAACTAAAGAGGAATATAAAACTGAAGGAGACAGCTCAGTCTCAGTCTCATTCTGAGATTCCTGGAGGCAGGATCGCCATTTTCAGACTAAGGTAAGAGCCAGTGTCTGATTGCTTTGTTTTCTGACCTTTAGGTTGAACCCCAGTTTCTCTCTCTGAGTGCTTCAGTGCCCTCTGCTTCTAGCCAGAGCAGCCTGCAAACAGTTCCAACATACACGGAGCGGCCCTGCTTCAAGACCCTACATGTGCGAGGACTGGCCTAGCTGTGAATCCCTCTTTATTTTTATTTTTAATATAACTTTATTTTATGTGCATTGGTGTGAGGGCATCAGATCCCCAGGAACTGGGCTTACAGACAGCTGTGAGCTGCCATGTGGGTGCTGGGAATTGAACCTGGGTCCTCTGGAAGACTCAGTGCTCTTAATCACTGAGCCATCTCTCCAGCCCTGGGAATCCCTCTTTAATTTTAAAAAATAAATTCACCCCTTATATCTCCCCCCACAACACCACAATCGATCAAAGTTTCAAGATGATTAGCCGTGGTCCTCAATGCCGGTAGCAGAGTCGAATGACCTTCTCACAGGGGTCACCGAAGACCATAGGAAAACACAGATTCATTCATAAAATTACAGTTGTGCAGCAGCAACAGAAGTGACTGTGGTTGGGGTCAGCACAACAGGAGGAGCTGTGTTAAAGGGGCGCAGGGTTCGGAGGGTTGGGAACAGCTGGGAACTTCACTGTCTTCAGACCACAGTGCATCCACGTCCCATGACCCTGTTGTCTGATACAGCCATTGTCACTTCCTGCTGCTGTTTGTTTCCTCTTCTAGAGACCACGTCTCATTTCACCCAGGCTGGTCTTGAATGCACTATGAAGCTGAGGATGACCTCAAACTGTGTGTGTGTGCGCGCGTGCGCGCACAGAGGCCAGGAGACAGGTGTCTCCCTTGGCCACTCTCTGGTCTGTCTGTCTTCTATTATCATCTATCATCTATCTATCTATCTGTCTGTCTATATCTACGTCTGTCTGTCTGCCTGCCTGCCTATTTGAGTTACAGGCACATCATGCTGTCCCTGTTTTGTTTTATTTTTTTAACCTGGACACATATGGACCTAAACACATGCACATCAAGCCCTCACTGAGCGAGCCTGCTCGTAGTCCCCGAGTACTGAGTTGATAAACAGGAGCCACTGTGCCTGGCTCCTCTTTAAAAAAAAAAAAATTAATTAAATTTATTTGTCTCTTTTTAAGGGTGGGGCATACCGAGGGCCACTGGCAGGAGCCGGCTCTCTCCACCCCCTTGGGCTTTCAGGAGCTTGAACTCAGGGCAGCAGCCTACACCTAGCCACTGAGCCTCCAGCCCCTTCCGGTTTAGGTGGAACTCCCTGTGGGGGCTGGAGATGCTGCCCACTAAAGAATGCTTACTGTACCCTCTGCTTGCCATAGTGGGTACTGCAGGTGCAAAGTGCTTAGACTTCACCTCGAGTTCCAGGACAGTCAAGGCTGCACAGAGGAAACCTGTCTTAGAAAAAAAAAACAAAAAACAACAAAATAACCAAAACAAAACCCCCAGAACTGTTTTGAAAATGCCTGTGAGGGCTGAGGCTGTGGTTCGACTGTGGAGTATTGGCCCAATGTATACAGAGCCTCTAGCTCCAACCCAGCACCACCTACACCTGTGACTCTTTTGTTTGTTTGGTTGGTTTTTTTGTGACAGAATTTCCATGTATAGCCCTGGCTATACTGGAACTCGCTCTGTAGACCAGGCTGGCCTCAAACTCACAGAGATCCGCCTGCCTCTGCTTCCCGAGTGCTGGGATTAAAGGCGTGCGGGCGAACACCCATGACTTCTCTTACAGTTCCTCTCAAGCTGTGGAGCAGTCACTGCGACGGAGAGGTGCTGCTGAGGCTCTCGCGACACGGGCCAGGCCATGAGACCCCAATGACCATTCCTGAGCTGTTTCAGGAGTCTGTTGAGCGATTCAGCGCTTACCCAGCCCTGGCCTCGAAGAACGGCAAGAGGTGGGACACATTGACATTCAGCCAGTACTACGAAGCCTGCCGCAAGGCGGCCAGATCTTTCCTCAAGGTGAGCAGCCGCCTCCGGCAGCCATTCAGAAGCAGTGGTTCATAGGGTGGAGTGGCAGACTCTGGGGTCCTAGCATACAGGGAGTTGAGGTAGGAGGCTCCTAAGTCCCGAGCCAGCCTGGGGTACTGAAACCCTGTCTCAGAAAACAAACGTAAGGTTTAAAAGAGGTTGGGGAGAGCCTCAGTGACCACAGTGGTCTCTGGGTGTGCACAGAGTCCTGGGCTCTTCCACAGTACCTCATAAAACTGGGTGTGGTGGTGCACACCCATCACCCTCAGGAGAGGCTGGAAGGACAGGAGTTCAAGGTCATCCTCTGCAAAGAGGATCTAGCCTGGGCTGGAGGATCTAACCTGGGCTGCTTGAGGAAACACCTGTGGGGCTGGCTTACCGTCCCAGAGGGTTAGTCCATGGCGATGACGGTGGGGAGCATGTGGGATGCTGGGTGCTGGAGCCGCAGCTGACAGCTTACCTGTAAGTGGGAGGCAGAGTGCAAGGCTTGACCTGGGGTGAACCTTTGACATCTCAGAGCCCACCCCCAGTGACACACCTCCTCCAACAAGACCACACCTCCTAATCCTTCCCAAACAGTTTGGTCAACTGGGGACCAAGCATTCAAACATATGAGCCTGTGGGGGCCATTCTCAAACACCACTCCCTGACCCATCGCTTGTGGTCATAGAATGCAAAATACATTCAGTCCAACTCTAGAAGTCCACATAGTCTGTCACAGTCTAACACTGTTTCAAAGTCCAAAATCTCTTCTAAGACCCAGTGCAATCCGTCACGTCCTTCCAGCGTGCAGTGACTCAGAATGTATGTCGTCATTCCAAAAGGGAGCAAAGAGGGCACAGCAAGGAAGCCCTGCCCCAGAAGGACAGAAATCCAGCGGTGAGCTGGATTACTCCATGTCCTATCACTCTAGTGTCAGAGAGCGCGGACAGCCTTTTGGGTCTCTGCTTTTCCCAGCTTCAATGACAGTAGCATACTTCCCTCCTTGGGCTGGCTCCCCACCTGATCTGCGGCTCTCCTTGGCAAGTATCCCATAGTTCTGGCATCTCCATCATCTTGAGGTCTACAGTACAATCCAGGCTTCTCTGTCACAGCCCCCACGCGGGGACTCCCCTGCCACATGCCTCAGCGGCTTCTCTAACCACTGAGGGAGTTCAGAACCGCATGACTGATATGCCAAGTCCCGCTGCTTGCTTGGGATGGGCCCTGGCCACCCCGGACCAACGCTCCTGTGATTTGAGTCCTTGCTACCATTCTTTGTTGCATAAACCTTCCTTTAATTCCTTTTTTAGTTGCAAGATTGACTGGGTGGGGTCTTGCTCTGTGAGCGCCAATCCTCTTTTTTCAGCATCAGGCTTTTCTTTCTTTTTTTTTTTAAATATTTATTTATTTAATATACAATATTCTGTCTGTGTGTACGTCTGCAGGCCAGACGAGGGCACCAGACCTCATTCCAGATGGTTGTGAGCCACCATGTGGTTGCTGGGAATTGAACTCAGGACCTTTGGAAGAGCAGGCAATGCTCTTAACCACTGAGCCATCTCTCCAGCCCCATCATCAGGCTTTTCTTTAAGCTTCTCGTGCCCTTGAGCGCAGGACTTGGCCCCAACATTACATACCCTGATGCCGCTCAGTGCACATTCTGTGTTCCTCTTTGCCCTGCTCACTCCTTTTGCCATGTGACACAGTCAATATTAGGCTGTCCTGAAGTCTCCTTTGCCCACAACATTGGTTCAAATTGGTTCAAGTCTCTTCACTTTAGCCTTACAGCAGAGCAGGTACGTTTTTCATCAAAATATCTTAAGAGTGGTCTCTGCCCTGTTGCTAATATTGCTCCTCTCTGAAGCCCCTCGAGCTAGGGCTCCACAGTCTACAGCCCCCCAGCAGCTGTCTGCAAACCTTCACGTGCACACGCACACACATCCTCATAATCAAAACGAAGGGCATGAAGAAGGGTAGATCCTGGGTTCCCACCAGCAGCCTGGCCTCTATGCTGAGCACCAGGGAAAAGCCCGGGACCTTGTCTGAAAAGACGTGAAGGCCCCTGGGGACAGTACGGTGGGTGAGTCTTACACAGAGGACACACACTGCAAGATGCCATCCCAAGGGGTTCACAGAGCAGCAGACCCACGTTTTCAGGAGGCCTGGGGAGGGATGGGGTTCGTGTCAAATGGGGGTGGCGATTCCTGTGGGGACAATGGAAGGTTCCACGTGGGTGCTCAGAGAGAGGTGATCCGAGCTTATGGCACCCTAGTGCAGGCTGGACGGCAACTTCCTGCTCTGCGCAGGCGCTTTCCTTTTTCTTCTCACCTCATAATCGGATCTTGAGAAGCGGACATGCCCAGGAGCTGACGGTGGCTTCCTTCTGATTTATTTCCCTCCAGCTGGGCCTGCAGCGCTTCCATGGCGTCGGCATCCTGGGCTATAACTCCGCCGAATGGGCCATCAGTGCCCTTGGTGCTGTCCTGGCTGGGTATGTCCCCCTTGGGGTCACGTGGACGAACCACCAGCTGAACAGTGCTGAGTCTGGGAGTCGCACAAATATTGAGGACGAGGCCACCAAAGTTAGATGAGCTGAGGCAACTATTCCACCACCACGGGGTACCAGAACTTCCGACTAGTTAGGGTCATGGGCAGCTCGGGTTCTGACACTGTGACCCGGAACAGAGGGGGTAGTCTCTTTTTAAACCAAAAGTCACGAGTAAGGGGGTCAGGGGTGATAGAAGAAAGGATTTTTACAATTTGAGGTTCAGTCCCAATGACGGTGACGGTACTTTCCAGGAGCTTATGACTCAGTAACACTTTACAACTAGAAGATCCAATTTGTGAGAACTCGGAGCCAGCGCAAGCTTAAGAGGGGCTTGCTGGCACAAGTCTGTGGCTGTGGTAACACAGCTCCTGACACAGCTGGAGTTCTGATGTTTAATCAGCTGTTGTTGTAATAACTGCTGAGAATATGGGACACTCAGGCAGAAGAAGCAGGTGGCTGGTGGTTTTGAATTATTGCGAACTCCACACTCAGCACAAACCCCGATTCAGTCAGAGCCTGGTGGTGGTGGTGCACACCTTTAAATCCAGCACTTGGGAGGCAGAGGCAGGCAGATCTCTGTGAGTTCGAGGCTATCCTGGTCTACAAGAGCTAGTTCCAGGACAGGCTCCAAAGCTACAGGGAAACCCTGTCTCAAAAAACCAAAAAACAAACAAACAAAAACATGATTCAGATTCGGAGGTCAAGAGTAACACACCTTCCACCACCCGTGGCCTTGGCCTTATCTTTCTTTTAAAAATAATCTCTTAAATTTAAATGTAAAGATTTGTGCAGATGTGTGTGTGTAGATGTCTACAGATGTAGCATTACGAGTGGCAGGGCTGCATTCCCGGCACCCGGCCACCCACATGGCTAGCTTATGCCTGAAATAATTACACGGAAACTGTATTTTTTTTAAACACTGCCTGGCCCGTTATCTGTAGCCTCTTATTGGCAAGCTCTTACATATTGTTCTAACCCATTTCTAATATTCTGTGTAGCCCACGAGGTGGCTTACCAGGGAGGATCTTAACCTGTGTCTGTCTGGAGTGGGAGAACCATGACGACTCCCTGACTCATCTTCTTTCTCCCAGCATTCTCTTCTGTTTACTCCACCCACCTATGTTCTAACCAATAAAATGGGCGAAGGCAGTTTCTTTATTATAATTAACCAATGTCCTTCCTCCATCATACAGAGGCCAGGAGATGGGGTGAGGGCTCAGATCCCCTGGAGCTGGAGTTATAGGCCATTGTGAACCAAGTGGATGCTGGGAACTGAACTGGGGTCCCCTGCAAGAGTGGCCAGCCAGCTCTCTAACCACTGAGCCATCCCCAGCCTGGGCTGAGCTCTCACTGCTGGCGACCTCCACAGAAGGCTGGTGGTTTGGAGCTCTGTGGTACAGAGAGCCTCATAACCGCCCCCCCCCCAGCTGCAGCAGGGGAGCTGCTTGGATGCTAACGGCCTTACGGCAGCGTGAAAACCCAAGTTCAATTCTGAGAAGCCATAGAAGACGCTAGCACTGGCTGGGAGATGCCGGCTCGGTGGACAAAGGCACCTGCCGTCAAACCTGCTGGTCTCCATGCACTGGGTCCCCAGGGTGGCAGGAGAGAACCCGCTGGCTCCCCCCCACCTCCACTGCTCGCTGCAGGGTGAGTCACCACATTCACACAAATACCTGTGATTTGAAAAAGAATAAATTGTAGGAAGAGCCTTGGCTGCTCCTCCGGAGGACCCAGGTTCTCCCAGCACCACATGGCAGCTCACAACCGTCTGTAACTCCAGCTCCAGGGGATATGATGTGTCCCTTTGGCCACTCTGGGTGCTTTGCATATGTGACATACACAGACATACAGAGAAAACACCCACATACATTTAAAAAAAATCAAGAATGAATTCTTCCAAAAGCACTGTCTGTCCACACTTGAGTGTGTCTGCTGTCCCCAGGGGGCTCTGCGTTGGCATTTATGTCACCAACTCGGCCGAGGCCTGCCAGTACGTCATCAAGCATGCCAAGGTGAACATCTTGCTGGTGGAAAATGACCAACAGCTGCAGAAAATCCTGTCGGTGAGTGGGACTCGGGGCGGGTCGGTGCTGGGGTGCGCTGTCTGCGGTGCATCCACAGAAGACCTCCAAAAAAATTGCTTGGGGGCGGGGAAGGTGATTGTGGGTGTTGGTTCACCTCACTTTCCAGCGTCCCTCTGAAGACTACATTCGCAGGAGGCTGGCATGTCTGTCTGCCAGCACTATCCTGTAGCGGTCATGTTCATACAGATGTTCCAGAAACGCCTCTCATTCCTCACCTGTGCACAGGTGCCCAGCACCTGCCTGGGTTTGCAGGATGGTCTGGAGGGAGGGTCCCTGGAAGGAGAGCCCAGGGGGCCAGGCGGATATGTTGTTCAGCTTGGCCATGAGTAGCTGGGGAGGTGGCTCAGTGAGGACCTGAGTCTGTCATCACAATGTGAGGATGTCAGACAGGACCCTTGCCAGTCAGTTAATGAGAGACACCGCCCGAAAAGACAAGCAGAGAGTGATGGGGAAGATGCCCAACACTGTCCTCTGACACACAGACAGACAGACACATACATAGACACCAACGTTAAAAAACAAAACGCAAGAGCTGCCGTGACAGTTGGCTCTGTGTCTCTAGGTTCGAGTCAAACATTCTCTAGAAACAATGTGAGCAGGGACATGTATGTCTACCTGTGGTTTAGCTGTTGGTCATGTGTCCCCAGTGAATTCCTTCTTAGGGTGGCTGGAGTCTGAGGCCATGTGCAACAGCTCCCTTTGACTCCTGGTTGCCAGCATTGAACTGGGTCTCATGTAGCCCAGGTTGGCCTGGAGCCCACCGTGTAACTGAAGCTAGCCTTGGCCTCCTGATCCTCCCGCCTCCACCTCCTGAGAGCTGGGGTGACATGTGCTGGGTCCAGGCCCCAGGGCTTTGTGAGTGCTGGTGACTGTTCTGCCCACTGAGCACAACTCCAGCCTTCATTTATAAAAATTACTTTCCTTTTTCAAAAAAAAAAAACACGTTTATTTACGTATGAATGTGTCCGTATATTTGCCACGGTGTGTGGAGGACAAAGAACAGCTTTGTGGAGTCGGCCCTCCTCTTCCACCATGTGCAAACGCCTTTACGAGCAGTCCGGTGTGGACCCTGAGCCCACAGGGAACTCTTTCAGATTCCACCGGACAAGATGGAGCCCGTGAAAGCCATCGTGCAATTCAGGCTGCCCTTGGGGGAAAACAGCCCGAGGAACCTGTACTCGGTGAGTACGGGAGGGGGGGGGGGCTTGGGGCGGGGCCTCTGGGAAGGGCGGGGCCTGCGGAGCGAGGCGTCCTCTGGGGGAGGGGCGGGGCTTGAGAGAGGGGCGGGGCTTGGGTATGGCTGGGATAGTAGGTGGGGCCGCAGAGGTAAATAGGCAGTGAAGGGCAAGGACTCCTTGAGGAACTGGGCAAAGTGGGGCCTTAAAGGAGGAGTGGGTGGGGCTGCTCTCGGGAAGGAAGTGGAGAGGCACGTGCAAGTGAGTGAGTGGGGCCCCAAGAGGGAAGTGGGCGTGGCTAGAGGGACAGGTGAGTAGTGACAGAAGATGAGGCGGGAACTCATTATTTTGTGCCTGTCAGAAAGTCGAAGGAGTTGAAAAAAAACAAAACAAAACACCCAACTTGAAAACTAAGCGGATTAAAACATGTTATTTAAAACCTTATTTTCAGCTTCCAAGGGGAAATTTTGCATATATGTATTTGTATTTGCATGTTTTGCATGATTTATCTTTTTGAGACAGATATTCTGTATCATAGCTATTTAGAGCCTAATATAGCCGGGCGGTGGTGGCGCACGCCTTTAATCCCAGCACTCGGGAGGCAGAGGCAGGCGGATCTCTGTGAGTTCGAGACCAGCCTGGTCTACAAGAGCTAGTTCCAGGACAGGCTTCAAAACCACAGAGGAACCCTGTCTCGAAAAACAAAACAAAACACTGTTAGAGCCTAATATATGTGTTTTCTCTTACAAATCTTACTGCATTTATTTGTGTTAGGCGTGTATTATTGTGGGAGAGGCATGCGGGGAGGTCAGGAAGGTCGTCCCATTCCGTCACGCAGGTCGTCAGGTTTGGCTGAGCTGTCACACCTGTCTACAACCTAATACTTAACATCTGTGTACACTGTGGAATGACTACATTGAGGCAGTTAACACACATGGCTTCAAAGATTTATCTTAAAAAAAAAAAAAAACACCCATCCCCAGGCATAGTGGCCACACTTCCAGCCAGAGGCAGGAGAATCTCTGTGAGTTCAAGGCTGACTTGGTGTACATTGAGAGTTCAGGACAAGTCAGGCGTGATGGCACACACCTTTAATCTCAGCACTCAGGAAGCAGAGGCAGTTTCAGTGTTGTGCTTATGTTCAAGTCATACTCTATTATGTGTATCCGGATTTATGAACATTTCCTCTAGCTGCTGGGTCTTTCAGGCACAGAGCAGTCACAGGTCAGCCCATGCCACTACCAGCAAGAGTATCATGAGTCTTGGATTGCTTTAAAGTTTATGTTTGAAGCAAAACTGGGGACACAGGCCTGCCACCCTAGCTACTAGAAAGATTCAGACAGGAGGATTCTAAGTTTAAGGCCTGCCAGAGCAACAACTAAAAGAAGAGGGCTGGGGCTTGGTTCAGAATGGCAACTTAGAATCCTGCAGTGAGGGGGCTGGGGGCGTGGTCAGGGTGGAGCCCCGCCTAGAATCCCCAGTGAGGGGCTGGGAATGTAGCCGTCTGGTGTCTTCTTGCCTGGTGCGTGATGGGAGAACCTGAGTTCAACTTTTTTTTTTTTTTTTTTTTTTTTTTTTCCGAGACAGGATTTCTCCGTAGCTTTTGGTTCCTGTCCTGGAACTAGCTCTTGTAGACCAGGCTGGCCTCGAACTCACAGAGATCTGCCTGTCTCTGCCTCCCGAGTGCTGGGATTAACTGAGTTCAACTTTTAATGCTGACTTTTGAAGGAAAGAAAAAGCAAAAGCAAACCTCCTTAGTTAGATGTACCCCTGATCACGCTTGGCACTCTTGAATTTGGGGCAGAGGACCCTTGGCAGGGATAGTCCTGGAGCCTTGCCTCTGACCTTCAGCCACTAGGTGGCAGCAGCGGTTGTCCCAGAGGAACGAGTCAATACATAGATTGGCATGTTCCCTCTGGGGGTGGTTCTGTTGTGCCCCTCACTGGTACACACACACACAGGGGGTGGTTCTGTTACATAGCAACGTATTATCTACTCTAAGGTGGCTGGGTGGCCCCATGAGGTTGGAGTGGAGATAGATCTAGATATGTATGTAGCTCAGGCTAGTCCTGAACTCACAGCCCAGCTGGCCTAAAACTTAACATCCTCCTGCCTCAACCTCCTGTGTGCTGGGACCATGACAGGGGTTCAAGCCTAGGTTTTAAGATTCAGTTTAAGAATACACTTTTTTAGGACCAGCGCCTCAGTCTGCTTAGCTGCCCTGGACGATCATCTAAACCTGAAGGATGCCATTGCCTTTAGTCCTTTAGCAGAGGTAGGCAGATCTCTGAGTTCAAGGCTAGCCTGGTCTGCAGAGTGAGTTCTAGGACAGCCAGGTCTACACAGAGAAGCCCTGTCTCGAAAAACAAAACAAAAGGCCAACTCCAAATGTCTTGAGCAAGGAAGGTCATTTGCCGGTCCCTTTCCCTGCAGCTTAGAAGGGCTGGTTTTAGGCAGAGGGCTGCGGCCAGGAGCTTGCATCCTCTAGTGTCCTATTCTCTAGCCCCTGGGGACCCTGCAGCTCCTGGGGACCCCACAGTCCAGGCTGTGTTAGCTGCATTCCTCCTCTTCATGAGCTCTAGCCCTGGATTGACGGGATACTCCGGCTTCATTCAGTCAGGGATGACTGCTGAGGTGAGGAAGCCTGGACATGTGAGCTCAGGAAAGCCTAGGAGCTCCCCTCCCAGGGTCACCGGCTCCTGGGGGAGAGGCCGACGAGAGGGCTTGATGCTGGGAACTCACAGGTGGCAGAGGGATCCCCCAGACATGCACCCCAAAATAAGTAATTAAATGTAACTTTAAAAGTTTTTGTTTAAGCGTTTTGAGGGTCAGTCTTTTGTTATTTACACCCATGTTGTTCCTTCAGGATAGTGTACACACCAGAGGGGCTGTGAAGAGACCACAGGTGCTGTCCAAAGCCAGGCACAGCCAGGCAGTCAGTTCTCGGGACAGCCCAAAGAGAGGGGCTAGCATCCCTGTGCTGTGGATGAGGCCTGTCTGAACTGACAGGCCCTGGGGAGGTGGCTGGGGTGTGAAAGTCCTGGGCATGTCTCTCCCAGCCCCTTGGCCCTTCCTCTGTACCAGCTGGCAACATGCCTGGGGGTAAGACGGCAGGACGGGGTCCGACAGTAGCCATGCGGGTCACCACCCTCCACCCTCCTTCCTGTCCGCAGTGGCATGACTTCATGGAGCTGGGGAATGCCATCCCCAGTGTGCAGCTCGATCGCATCATCCTGAGCCAGAAGGCCAACCAGTGCGCGGTCCTCATCTATACCTCAGGCACAACAGGGAACCCCAAAGGGGTGATGCTGAGCCATGACAACGTAAGCCAGGGTTCCCCCAGAGCATGCTCTCCCTGGGCAAACCAGAGCAATATGGAGGGGGGTGTAGGTCTGTGTGGGTCTTCCTCCAGGGAACCTGGACAGTTGGTGGAACTGAAGGCTTGAAAGTAGGCCTGGGTCCAAACAGGGCTGAGCAATCTTGGGCAAGAAAACTGATGGTGCCATGCCTCAGTTTCCATGTCTGTGAAATGGGAGTTGGCTTTGTGGTTTCTATCAGGTGGGTGTCTGAGTGAGTGTGTGTGTGTGTGTGTGTACACACACGTGTGTGTAGTCTGAGTGTGTGAGTGTGTGTGTGTGTGTGTAGTCTGAGTGAATGTGTGTGTCTGTGTCTGTGTATGTGTGCAGGCCAGAGCCTGACCTCAGCTGTGGTCCCTCAGGGCTGTCTGTCTAGAAACCCACCTCTCTAAGGCTGGCTCTATTGGTGAGCACCACCACACGGGCTCTGAGTACTGGAACTCAGGGCTTTATGTAGGACAGGCTCTTTACCAACCAAGACATTTCACCAGCCTCATTGGATTATTGTATTTTAAGATTTTATTTATTTATTATGTATACAGTATTCTGCCTGCATCTATGCCTGCAGGCCAGAAGAGGGCACCAGATCTCATTATAGAAGATTGTGAGCCACCAATGTGGGTGCTGGGAATTGAACTCAGGACCTCTGGAAGAGCAGCCAGTGCTCTTAACCACTGAGCCATCTCTCCAGTCCATTTTATGTTTATTTTTTGAGACAGGGTGCCATGTAGTCCAGGCTGGCCTCAAATTTGCTATGTAGCTGAGGATAGCCCTGAACCCCTGATTTTTCTGCCTACACCTCCTGCGTGTTGGGATGATGGCGTGCTTGTGAGAACATGTGTGTATGATGTATTTCTCACTTGCTAGGCCTCCCATTTGGACCCAGGGTCACAGGTTCAGCTCATGTGTCTCCACCTTCCAAGTGACTGGGATTGAGGGTGATCACACATACACTACGCTGGACAGTTCTTTGTTAACTTGACACTGGCTGGAGCATCTGAGAGCAGGGACCCTCCAGTCAGAAAAATGCCTCCCGAAGACTGGGCTGCAGAGAAGCCTATGGGGCACTTTCTTAGCGATCTGTAGTAGATCTGACTTTCTCTTTTGGGCCACTAATGTGCTCCCAAATCACAACACTGAGACTTATTTTAAATTATGAATGCTTGATCTTAGCTTAGTTGTTTTTTTTTTTTTTTTCTGGCTAGCTCTTTTAATTTAAATTAACGTGTTTCTCTTTTATCTACCGATTGCCTCGGGGTAGTTTGCCTTCTTTCTGTGTGTCCTGCTCTGTGTGTGGTGGTGGTGGTGGGGAGGCTGCCTAGCTTCTGGCCCCGTCTCCCTCATTCTCTCCCTCTCCTCCTCCTTCTCTCGTTTTTTTCCTTTTCTGCAGCCTAGATTTCTCCTATGTATTCTGCCTGCCAGCCCTGCCTATCCATTGTCTAGCTGTTGACTTCAGTCTTTTGTTAGACCAATTGGGTGTCTTGGGCAGGCAAGGCCAAACAGATGTAACACATCTTTATAGAATTAGACACATTCTGGGGCTGGAGAGATGGCTCAGAGGTTAAGAGCACTGACTGCTCTTCCAGAGGTCCTGAGTTCAATTCCCAGCAACCACATGGTGGCTCACAGCCATCTGTAATGAGATCTTGTGCTCTCTTCTGACCAGCAAGCAGACAGACAGAACATTGTATACATAATAAATAAATCTTAAAAAAAAGAATTAGACACATTCTTACATTGTTAAACAAATACAGCATACACAAAAGTAACACAACTTTACACAGTTAAAATAATGTTCAACAACAGTGATCAGTTAGGAGGGCCCAGCCCACGGTGGGTGGTGCCATCCCTGGGCTGCTGGTCCTGGTCTCTGTAAGAAAGCAGGCTGAGAAAACCATAAGAAGCAAGCGAGTAGGCAGCACCCTCCATGGCCTCTGCACCAGCTCCTGCCTCCAGATTCCTGCCCTGTGTGAGTTCCTGTCCTGACTTCCCTCGGTGATGGTCTGTTATCTGTAAGCGTGAGCCAAAGAAACCCTCTCCTCCCCACGTTGGCCAGCCACCAAGTCCCAGGGCTCCTCCTGTACCCACAAATGTAAGAGGCAGGCCCGTAGTCGGGGGGGGGGTCTTTAGTGCAGTGCTCTCCCGCCAGCATGAGGTCCCCAGTTCAGTCCGTGACACCCAACCATGACAGTGATGGTGGTGGAGATAGGAAGATCCTGGGGCTCACTGGCCAGGCAGCCTCCTCAAATTGTGGAGCCCCAGGTCCAGTAAGAGACCTTGAATCAGAAGACAAGGCAGAGCAGGCTGGAGAGATGGCGCAGTAGTTAGGGGTGGAGTTTGGAACCCAGCACCCACATAGCCGTCCGGGTGTTACATGAAGCTGCCACCTCCAGCTGCGAGTGCAGCAGAGACACGAGGGTTACAAAGCTTGATGGGTCTTTTTTAGGCTGGCTACAGAGCAGGAGTAGCTGCTTTGAGAAGAGAGCCTGCCCCAGAGTCTGTATCTTAAGAAAATGCATGAGCGCGCGCGCGCGCGCGCGCGCGTGTGTGTGTGTGTGTGTGTGTGTGTGTGTGACTTGGTGGCTGGCCAGCCTAACCACAGGTGAGCAACAAGTTCAGTGAGAGTCCCCAGAAGGTGGAGACTGACTGCACACTCCCCACACTGCACACCGACAGACTCCCACATATGCAGAAGCACCCAGCAGGTGGGAGGAAGGAACGAGGCTGGGGAGACCGCTTTGTGGGTTCATCTAGAATGTCACCCTGTAGGGGTTGGGAGATGGCTCGGCTACTAAAGCTCTTTTCACATGGCATCTGAGTCACCATGTGGGTGCGGGAGCTGACCAGGTCCTCTGCAGGGGCAGCAAGTCACTGAGCCATCTCGTCAGCCCCAGTAAATAAAAATTTAAAACAGCAAGGTAGGAAGCAGTCGAGGAAGAAAACTGATCTCCATCTCGGGCCTCCTCACATGTGCGCACACACACACACACGCACACTTGCACACACACATGCACAGTGGTCCTCAGGTAAGGCACCAGAGCTCTGGGTTATCCTTGTTTTCTAGATCACGTGGACCGCAGCGGCCACAGGGCGGGAGTTGGAGCTGAGCTGCGCCTCAATGAAGCAGGAGACAGTAGTCAGCTACCTGCCCCTCAGCCACATTGCATCCCAGATGATGGACCTCTGGTTGCCCATCAAGATTGGGGCGCTCATTTTCTTTGCTCAGCCAGATGCACTCAGGGTAAGGCTGGGCGTGGGCCTTCAGGGGAGTGGACAAAGTCTAAGAAGTTTTTCTCCTTCTTCATTTTTCCGCTCTGTTCCACAGCATTGAAAACAGCTGGGTAAATTCTCTTACTTTTATCTTGCTGTGCGGTGCAGTTGTGTAGAATGTACCCTAAACAAGCTCAGTTAGAGGCTGTGTGACGTTGAATGTCTGTACTTTCGGTATTTGTGTTTTACTGGGGATGCGTGCCATGGTGTGCATATGATGGTCAGTGGACATTTGAGGGTCTATTCTCTCTTCCACCCTGTGATTCTGGGGACAAACTCGGGTCATCAGGCTCGTGGTAAGTGCTTTTACCCACACAGCCATCTTGTGAGTTTTCCCTTTTTAAAAGTGTGTGCTTGGAGTGTGTGTGAGCATGCTCCTGTGAATTCCCAACCTTTAGGCTCAAGTCTGGGGAGAGGATTCTGGCCTGAGAAGCACCGGCTGCTCCTGCAGAGGACCCAGGTTCGATTCCCAGCACCCACATGATGGCTCATAACTGTCTGTGACTCCAGTTCCAGGGATTCAGTGCCCTCCATGGGGTCAGCCATATACACACATGCAGGCAAAACTCATGCTTATATAAAAAAAAATCTATAAGCCAAAAGCCTGGCCAGTGTTGCAGCTTACCCCCTTAGCAGACTTAGTTGAGAAGTAATTTCTTTTGTATTCAACTCTAGCGTTCTGGAGTATATAATGTTACCATTCCTGGATTCAGAGTTCTGGAGTATATAATGTTACCATTCCTGGATTCATCATCTGGTGTTTTCCTGTGTGTTAGAGGAGGATTCAGCTCCTTCACGGTCTCCACCCTCTTCCCCTTCTCCATCTTCTGAAAAGAAACTGTCCCTTGTCACGGCAACAAAGGGCTGACTACGAGGCGCCAACTCCGCTGCAGCTCTGTCAGGATTTCTCAGAGTGATCAGTAGGCGAAATATTTGCCTCTCAGGTTCTTCCTGTCAGTGTTCTGCTGGGAGCTGGGTGGCTCATTGTTTGTTCTAGATTGGGATAACTGAAAGCAAGACCTGAGATGCTTCGTGACTTATTGGAAGGAAGGGAGCCAAGCAAGGGCCGGGGAGAGGACTGAGCCAGGAACAGAAGGTCGTACTGTGCAGATGGACCCCTGGGGAGCGGAGTGTCAGGCATGACCACAAGGACACAGAACCTGTGTGTCTACCTGCAAGGTGCACACTGACACAAACGCAGCACGTGGCTGTGCCTGTGGGCAAGTACAGCTGCCCAGTAATGCAGTGCTGTGGGAAAGAAGATGCTGTGGGCCATGAGGGGCCAGGGCAGGCTTGAGTGGTGCCCTCGGCATGTTGCCCTGCAAGCCTCTCCCTGGCTCCCAGCCTGGGCCTCTTTACTGGGGTCTTTGCAGTTGTCTTCCTAGTTTCTTGGTACCATTCCTTCACGTTGCTGGAGATGACCCTCTGGTAGGCTTTTCAGAATAGGGAAAGAAATGTCCGGCTCCTTTTGTTGCAGACTTTGCCAAACTTCAGGAGACTGCATGAGAAGTCTGGAGTCCACATCACCCCTAGTTGACAACTGGTGACGAGAGAAGCCAGTTAACACAACATACAGGTGTCCTCACGAGGTCTGGGCTACAGGTTCTAACTAGGCTGTCTCGTGGCTAAAGTGGTTGTCGTGGAGCCCTGGGGAGATGCATTCTCCTGCCTTTTCCAGATTCTAGAAGAAAGGCTGCCTTTATTCCTTGGCTTGTGGCCTCTTCCTCCACTTTCTAAAACATGTCATTGTGTGTGTGTTTGTGAGTGTTTACTGCATGTATATATGTGCCCTGTTGTGTACTTGGTGTCCATACTAGCTAAGAGGGCCTTGGTCCCCCTGGAGCTGAAGTTCCAGGTGGTTAAGAGTTTCCACACGGGGGCTGTGCAGGTGTACCTAGCCCTCTAAGCAGGGAGCCTGTCTCCAGCCTCCTCTCCCTGTCTGTAAAGCCGGGTGCACATTACCTGCCAGGTTCAGCACTAACAAGGCAGAGAAACACAAACGTCAATGAACACACATGTGTAGTAAGGAGCAGTGGGCTGTGTTCCTGCCACCCGGCTCCCAGCCGCCTGGCTAGCTTATACCCCAAAATAGCAACACACAAATTGTATTCATTCAAATACTGCTTGGCCCATTAGCTCTAGTCTCTTTCTAGCTAACTCTCATATCTTGCTTTAACCCATATCTAATAATGTGTGTAGCACCACAAGGTGGTGTCTTACCAGGAAGATTCTAGTGTACATCCATCTTGGGCTGGAGCTTCATGGCATCTGACCCAGAGAGGAGAGGCATGGTGATTGCCTCACTTCCTCCCAGCATTCTGTTCTGTCTACTCCACCCACCTAAAAGGGCTGGCCTATCAAATGGTCCAAGGCAATTTCTTTATTAACCAATGAAAGTAACTCCTCATCACACATGTATGTGACCACAGAAAAGCACACATGAACACAGCTCACGCATTCAAACACGTGAACATACCCTAAGCAGTCACAAACAGACATAGACAAATATGTATGTAAACGCACTGTCTCAGTTAGATGTTCCACTGTAGTGATAAGAAGACACCTTCACCCAAAGCAAGCTGTGGAGGGAAGGGTTTCTCACTGAAGGAAGTCAGGACAGGAACACACACAGACCAGGAACCTGGAGGAACCAGAGGCCATGGAGGGTGCTGCTTACTGGCTTCCTCTCAGCCTGCTTTCTTTTATAGAACCCAGGAATAGCCCCTCCCAAGGTGGCCTGTGCCTCCCCATCAATCACTGATTAAGGAAATGCCCTAGAGCCAACCTGGTAGAGGCATTTCCTACTGGGAGTCCTCTTCCTAATGGCTCGAGTTTGTGTCAAGTGACAAAACACTAACCAAAAATACATACAAACATAAGCCTAGACATACAATACAGTAAAGACATACAATAAACACATAAATGTACACTTACAGGCAGTGACAAACACGTAAGTGCAAGCGTACAAATACAGACATGAGCATGTAAACACACTCAGGTGCCATACATACATGTGTGATCACCCGGCACACACATAAGCCTCAGTCCTTGCTGAGGCTCCTGCCTCCCTCCCATGTGGACCCTGGACAGGACACTGAGCCACCTGATCACCCAGAAAATCTGACTTCTCAAGATCCTTTATTTATTGTTATTGTTTGAACTTGTATTAAAGTTTAAATTTACAGTGAGTACTGGTGGGGGGTGAAGGCGTCAGGGTCAATTACAAGGGGATACTCCATGAGAACAGTGAAGCATGTGGATGCATAGACACAGAGCCACATAAGACATAGACACAGCCATATGCAGACACAACCACATGCAGACTCAGACACAGCTACATGCAGACAAAGACAAAGAGCCGCACACAGACACGGAGCCACGTGCAGACACAGAACCACATGAGACACAGAGAAACACGCAGACACACAGAGAAACATGCAAACACAGAGACACACGCAGACACTGAGACACAGAGATACACGCAGACACAGAGACACACAGACACAAAGACACGCAGACACCGAGACACACGCAGACATACAGAGAAATATGCAGACACAGAGACACGCGCAGACACAGAGACACATGGAGACACTGAGACACACGCAAACACTGAGACACATGAGACACAGAGACACGCACAGACACAGAGACACACGCAGACACAGAGACACAGAGACACAGACACAGAGACACGCAGACACAGAGATACACGCAGACACAAAAACACATGCAGATACAGAGACACACGCAGACACAGAGACACACGCAGACACAAAGACACACGCACATACAGAGACACACACAGACACAGAGACACACGCAGACACAGAGACACACGCAGACACAGAGACACACGCAGACACAGAGACACACACAGACACAGTCACGCACGGACGCAGAGCCGCACTGCCTGATGAGGACCCTGTAACCATGACTCTGATCCCCAGTCTCCACACAGAAGAGAGAACTGATTCCTTCCAGGTGTCCCCTGATCGCCACAGGAGCACCATAAAGAAAGTGAAGGAAAAAGAAAAGCCATATGTGGCCAGGAGTAATCCAGATAACCAGGGCTCTGAGGTTTTCAGAACAACACCTGCTGTGATGTCATCACATGCAGCCTTTCTGGTGGCATGCATTCCCTCCTCCAGGCCGCAGGGGCATTGCATACCACAAACAGTAGAGCTGCAGGGACAGCTCAGCTGTAAGACCGCTTGTGTTCAAAAGCCCAACACTCAGGTAAAAATCTGAGCGTGGCCACCTGCACACCCGTAACCCTGGTGCTGTGGAGTGGAGCAGGAGGTCTCTGGGAATCACTTGGCCGCCCAGCCTCGGGTTCTGGGATCGAGTAGCCTCAGAACATGGCCTTCCTCCTCTGCCCTTGTGTGTGTGGCCGTGTTGATCTCGGGTGTTCTGTTTGTAGATGGATGGGATGCAGGGTAAGTGCCCAGCACGGAGTACCGTGCAGTGGAAACACTTTTGAGTGTGTCAGGTGTTTCCACTGCCCCAAGGGGCTTGAAAGTTTCCCCTTTTCGGACATCTCTATCAAGTGTGGATGCCCGCTTCTCCATTGCCTCCAGTGCAAGTCATGTATCCATTTTTTTTTGTTTGTTTTGGTTTTTCGAGACAGGGTTTCTCCGTAGCTTTTGGTGCCTGTCCTGGAACTAGCTCTTGTAGACCAGGCTGGCCTCGAACTCCCTGAGATCCACCTGCCTCTGCCTCCCGAGTGCTGGGATTAAAGGCGTGCGCTACCACCGCCGGGCTCATGTATCCATTTTTAAAGTGTCATCGTCACTCATGTCTCCAGGGGATGAGCTGGCAGGCAGGTCACCACCTCTGCTGGCTCTTCTTTCACTATAAATGATGATGAGCATCTTCCCGTGGGCACACTGCTGCTTGGGTTTCACCTCTTAGGTTCCAGCTGTTTGTGCCTCTCTTTTCTTTTTCTTTCTTCTCTCATACAGTCATCTTGACCGCAGCCCCTGCTCTGCGTCTCGTTAGGCTGTGCTTGCTTGACACCGCTGGGAGGCTTGCTCTTCTCTGCAGGGAAATGGAGGACTATTTGGATTTAATTTCTCTTCAGATCTTTTGCATTCCAGGTGTTCTCAGGTAACGAGTCCTTACCAGATGCCACGGTTGGCAATTGCCTTCTCCTGTCGTCTGCTCTCTTTCGTTCTTCCCGTTGCGGTCTTTTGAAGCGGGAAGGAAGCCTGGCTTTGATGAGTTCAGTTTGCTGATGTCCCCCATGCTCTGCTAGGACAAAGCATCCCCGTCTTCCTTGATGTGCTCTTCCTTGATGTGCCGTCTGCTCTTAGCTCCTCACTTAGAGTTGATTATCATGCTAGGTGAGAAAGAGGGCTGAAACCCACGCAGGGCTGTCTGCTTTTGTACACGAATATCCTTTCCCAGACGCAGGAAGCTACTCGGGGGATGCATGCTGAAAGCATGTGATCATGAGTGTAAAATGTTGTCTGTGAACCTGTTTGTATGTTCTCGCACACACATGCGCACATATGCCCAGGTGCACACACGTGTACACTCATGTATTTGTATGCATGTGCACACATGCGAACATGCACACATGGGGTGGGGTGGATGAATCTGAGTCTGACTGGCTGCTGTGAAGCCGGGGTGGGGGGGTTGTCCCCATGCTCTGGGGGAAGGGGGAGGGACATGTGTGACTCCTGAAGGTGCTGCAGGGCCTCATGCGCCCTGTCCTGCACAGGGCACCTTGGTGTACACTCTTCAGGAGGTGAAGCCTACCATTTTCCTGGGGGTGCCTCGTGTCTGGGAAAAGATGCAGGACACCATCAAGGAAAATGTGTCAAGGTCCTCAAGTCTGAGGAAGAAGGCGTTTGTATGGGCAAAGATACTCGGCTTAAAGGTCAACACCAAGCGGATGCTGGGGTAGGCATGGTATCCTGGAGTGGGGGAGAGGGATCACGGAGGAGCTCTGTCATCTGAAGCTGGCTGTCCTTGATGATGCCATTCCCAGGAAGAGAGACATCCCCCTGAACTACCGCATGGCCAAGGCCCTCGTGTTCACGAAGGTCAGGACGTCCCTGGGTCTGGACAACTGCCACTCCTTCTTCAGTGGGGCCGCTCCGCTCTCCCAGGAAGTCTCGGAGTTCTTCCTCAGTCTGGACATCCCTATCGGTGAGATCTACGGGATGAGTGAGTGCTCCGGACCGCACACAGCCTCCAGCAGGAACAAATACAGAGTTCTGAGGTACCCCAAGTCCCCAGTGTCATGGGCTGAGGCCATGAAGGGGGTGGTGACCTCTGGCGGAGACACGTCCTGACCTGGGTATCCTGACAGTCCCATTCTCCAGCCCTCTGGCTTATCCCACAACCTTCCAAGAAGGGCACTTGCTCGAGAGCCACCTGTCATGTTGTGTGACTTCTTTTGGGGGAGACCTGAACGAATGTGTGTTTAGCCCAGATAGAGCGCCAAAAATACCAGAGAACACTTCCTCCCAAGTATAGCGTACCACGCTTCTGGGATGGTAGCTTTCTGCCTTTGCTTGAGGTTTCTAGCGTACAGGATGCAAGCGAGGGACCAGAATAACAATAATGATAAAAATGGAGGAGGAGGAATGGCCAGAACTTGATGGTGTCCCTGAACTGCAGACACCCTTGGGTGCATCTCACCTGAACATGGTCTTCTTCACCGTGACCACATCATGCCATTTTACCAGGACACTAGTCATGCTGTGGGCTGGACCGAGGAGGAGGCTCCTGTGTCCACCCCCAGCACTAGGAGGGCAGGCATATGGCCGCTGATAGAGCACACAGTGCGTGTCTGTAAGCCAGTGAACGCAGAGTGCTGCCTCTCCATACGTTCCCTCTCTGCCAATATTCCACCTTGTGGTGCTTTATGCCGCCATCCTGGCCATCACAGGGCTGTTGCCCCCAGTGTTCTCATAGGGGAGGTGACACCGCCATCCCGAGGTCTTCAGGGATGTAGAGCTGGGTGGTGGTGACACAGGTCTTTAATCCCAGCCCTTGGGAGGCAGAGGCAGGCAGATCTCTGTGAGTTCAAGGCCGGCCTGGCCTACAAGAGCTAGTTCCAGGAAAGGCTCCAAAGCTACAGAGAAACCTTGTCTCGAGAAAAAACACAATAATAATAATAATAATAATAATAATAATAATAATAATAATAATAAGTGGATGTAGAAACAACTTGCGATCCTGCGGGGCTTCCAGACGCACAGAATATGGAGAACCTGACCACTGGGTGTCGGAGGGACATGAGTTTAGCTGGGACAGTAGACGAACCTCAGGACTCTGGGCTGCTGGTGTGGGAGGACCCAGGGTCGGCAGCACTGTGAGACCCTGGTGCTCTCCTCCCGGCAGCTGCGGCAAGGTCATCAATGGCTGCAGGAACATGCTGTATGAGCAGAACAAAGACGGCATGGGCGAGGTGTGCATCTGGGGCCGGCACGTCTTTATGGGTTACCTGGACAGGGAGGAGGCCACGTTGGAGGTGTTGGATGAGGACGGCTGGCTGCACTCTGGGGATATGGGCCGCGTGGACAGCCAAGATTTCCTCTTCATCACTGGCCGAATCAAAGGTACGGCACACCTTTGGAGCAAAGAAAGCGAGGTATGCTAGGGGAACTGACAGGTTACCAGGAGTACAGGCAGTATGGGGGACATCAGGGTGCCTGATACTAGGGACACCCCAGGTCATAGGGACCTGTCATACTGGGGGCAGGTCGCTCTGGAGTGAGACTGCAGCCTGAGGCCAGGAGGTCCCAGCGAAGGTTCAGAGAGAGTGGGGGCAACCCTACCAGCACAGCCCTGGGAAGGCTGGGGCTGGAGAGCCGCAGCCTGGAGCTATACTGGGTTGCACAGTGATGGTCAAAGTGCTCAGGAAGTGAAGGGTTTCTTCAGCTCACAGCTCAGGCCACACGCCATCATCCAGGGGGTCAATGCAGAAAGCAGGAGCTAATGCAGAGGCCGTAGAAGGGTGCTGCTTACTGGCTTGCTTGCTCAGCCTGCTCTCTATAGAACCAAAGACCAGCAGGACAGGAGTGGATCTGCCCACAGTGGACTAGGCCCTACCACATCGATCTCTAATTGAGAAAATGCCCCACAGGTCAATCTTGTGGAGACATTTTCTAGCTAAGGTCCATCTTCCCAGGAGACTCCTGGCTTGACAGGTTGACCAAAGCTAAGAGGACAGATTCTGTCCACGTGGGGTCCTAAGAACATAAATGTTGGGAGGGAAGCAGGAGTGGGTGGGGACTTGGGGTGCCTGTAAGGAAGCCATATCAACCTTTGCCCTGGTCCCAGGTTCGGGGTGGGGGCACTGTACCAAGCTGGGATCTCGTTCCAGAAATGCTGATCACAGCTGCTGGTGAAAATGTGGCCCCCATTCCCATCGAGACCCTAGTGAAGGAGAAGATTCCCATCATCAGCAACGCCGTGCTGGTGGGCGACAAGGCCAAGTTCTTGAGCATGCTGCTGACGCTGAAGGTACCCAGGGTGGTCCCAGCCCCAGGGGGCGGGACCGCAGGCGGCCGGAGCTCAGGCTCTGGGTCTGGGTCTGGGTTGGGGTCCGGGATGACCAGGGAACGTGCATGGTGACAGCTTTGTCCTGGGGCAGTGTGAGACAGACCGAATGAGTGGGGAGCCCCTGGACAACCTGAACCTGGAGGCCCTTAACTTCTGCCGGACACTGGGCAGCACGGCAGCCACTGTGTCGGATGTAGTGAGGCTTCGAGACCCACTGATCTACACAGCCATCCAGCGTGGCATAGACAACGTCAATCAGGAAGTGATCTCTGACTCGCAGAGAATTCGGAAGTGGACCATCTTGGAGAAAGACTTTTCCATCCAAGGTGGAGAGCTGGGTGAGTAGCCTGGCCTGGGCCTTCAGAGGGCAGCTCTGGGCTGTACCCTTCCCTGGTGGTCAGGTCTGTGGGACCAGCTAGAACATGGGACATTTACCAGCTGCGTCCAGCCCCCGACTGGCCTCCCCGTGTTGCTTCTTCCCTAGGACAGACACATTTATGCTCTGGAGCTAACGTCAAAACTCCTCATCCTGGGCTGGAGAAGTGGCTCAGTGGTGCGCGCGTGTGCACGTGCATGTGTGTGGTATGTGTGTGTGCGCATACACACACACACCAGCCAGAATTCAGATTCCCAAAGTCTGTAACTCCAGCTGCCAAGGGATCGGATAGTCTCTCCTGGCCTCTTTTCACAATGCATTCAAATGTACACACACATACGGCAGAACCGTCACTACACCAGTCCATTGGACATCTCACCCTCTCAGTGAGATCAGGAAAAGCCCCAGTCCAGCCGTGGGACCCTGTCCCTAGGTGCCCACAAGAAGTGTGGAACTTTGCCTTCCTCAGTTTGACTAACCTCTCCTTTCTCCACAGGGCCAACAGCGAAACTCCGGAGACGTATCATAACCCAGAAATACAGAGCCCAGATCGAAACCATGTACTTGTGACTTCTGGAGCAGAAATGTCCTGGCTGCCCTCATGGTGAGACCTGACGGCCTGGCTTAGCAGGACTGGGTGGCGAGGGCTGCTAGCAGAGTGTCCTGCCCCTTCTGTCTTTGCTGTGGTCAGGGGACAGTGGCCACCGATCTTGATGGCCCACCACCTTCCAGACCCCCTCCGAGGGAGCCCTGCTGGACCTCAGAGGAGGTCTGGGCTCTAGAAATCCCGACTCACCACACCTGCTATCTGCACCCCCAGGACGGGTCCACGGGGAGCATGGGGGAGGGGTGCTGAGCGCAAGCACAGCACCTATAACCACTCTAAGTCAGCTGACTCCTTGTCTTGACACTGAGGCGTGGGCCACCCAGAAAGGAACACCACAGCTGAGCCCCGGTCCACCTCCATACACGGACAGAGCTGTGTGTGTGTATTTTGAGATGGGGTCTCCCGCTAGCCTGGGATCTGCCAAGTAGGCTAAGTGGGCTAGAGAGCCAATGTGCGGGGGTACGAGTGTGCACCACAGGTAACTGGCTCCTAGCTCCTCTCCCCCGCCCCTCCCTCTCAAGTTTGCTGAGTCTTTACTCACTGAGCCACCTCATCTCCTCAGCCCTTTTTAAGGGCACTGTCAGACTGAATTAGGACTCACCCGCTGGTCCTCATTTCCAAATAAGGTCAGTGTGGGGCGGGGGGGGGGGGGGGGGGGGGGCTCCCGCTGCACACTGGCCCACAGCACTCAGCCCTTGGGTTCGCTGCCAGGCAGAGCAGGGTGCAGGGTGCAGCTCACAGAGAGTCGAGAGCTGCCGCGCAGAGAATCGGAGCTGCAGAGCACAGCAGCAGCCGCCGGGGCTGTTCCCACCCAAGTGCATGCACAAACCCCTTCACCTTGAAAGGCTCAGCCTAAAGGTTTAAAGGGATAACCGAGGTCAATATTGGTCAAAGAGTGTGGGAGAGACATGCAGGCCAGAGGGCAACATTAGGCGCCCTGCTCTTTCTCTGAGACTTTACTCCCTTGAAACTGAACTAGGCTGATGGCCTACAACAGGAGCAGCCCTCCTACCCACAGGGTCATCTCCCTAGCCCGCCACTGGATTGTGACTGCAGACGGTGTCCACGTGGCTGTTCTCTCAGGGTCACTGGATGCTCTTTCCCTCCAGGGCATTTACTGCCTGGAGCCTCAGGGTGTCCCACCAGGGACCCCACAGACTAACTCGGCTCCCTCTTCTCCAGCCTCCCCCCAGGTAGACCTCATCTTAGTGGGCAACTCCCCGCCTAGGAGCCCCCCTCCTGTGCAGAAGAGGCAGTGCAGCCACAGCAGGCTCTCTCTCCCCTAGGGCTGTGTATTCGGGAAAGAAATGCTTCAGGGGTGTGAAGAACCGGACCTCAAAACACCTTCCCAAGAGCAGCATGAAACCCTCAAATAAGTTGTGGTCAGGCTCCCTTCTGCCTTGACGCCTCATTCTTCCGAGGTGCAAATGCCGCCGCACTTGGTGTGGAGAGCAGGGTGCTGCGGTCAGCTGTGGGCTCACCCTCCTGAGATTGGAGGCTTGGTTGCCTGGACTCCTTGTGTGGTGATTTTGGTGTCTGTTGTAAATATGTTTGTGTGTGTGTGGTGTGGTTTGTGTGGTGTGTGTGTATGGTGTGGTATATGTCATGTGTGTGGAGGCCAGAAGTCAGGTGCTTTGCCCTAGGGCTCCCCACTGCAGTGTTTAGATCCCCTCACCCCTCTAGACTACCCATCACCCAGCCCCAAGGATACCCATCTCTGCCCCACTGGTTGGATCAGAGAGACACATCCCCAGGTCCAGCTTTTTACGGGGTTGCCAGGGATTCGAACTCAAGGCCCTCACAGTACTGCTGCAGAGGACAATGCTACCCTGTTCTTCCTCACTTCCTTGGGTCAGAAATCGCTGGAAACACCACTGCTGGGTGTAATGGCACACGCCTGTTGTCCCAATAAGAGGTGCAGGACAGAGGGTCAGGAGTTCAAGGTTACCCTTCACAGCTTGAAGATTTGGGTACAGCCTGGGCTATATGCATCCTTTATCCTGAAGGAAGGGAAAAAAATAAAGAGCACAGGGCAGTTTGAGGACTTAATAGGAGGCATAGCTAATCCTGTTAGCTCTGTTATCTTCTTGTCATGAGGTTGTCAAACTCCAAAGGGCAAAGTGAACGCAGAGACACTAGCCTGGCCAGAGTCTGTCGCTGGATGCTAAGCCTCTGGGATGCACTGGTGTCTGCTTTGTGTGGACGGAGGTCGCAGGCGGTCTCTAGCGCCCTCTTCAGGTGCCCGTGGTTTGTATCCCAGAGGCTGACTATATTTAAATATTTTAAATTTTACCTTGTAGATGGCCCAGGCTTCTGGAGAGTTTTTGAGACTATGTTTTCTGGCCTCCAGTATGTTGGTGTGTCTCTCGATTCTCAGACTGTCACAGATGTCCACAGGGCCCCTTGATGCTCTCAGGAATATGAGGGAGCCGGAGTACAGCCCCGGAGGTCACCGTTAGAGACCCACCCCCACGCCTTTAATCCCAGCACTCGGGAGGCAGAGGCAGGGGGGTCTCTCTGAGTTCCAGGCCAGCCTGATCTACAGAGCTAGTTCCAGGACAACCAGAGCTACACAGAGAAACGTTGTCTCAAAAAACAAAAAATAAAAAAGGAAAGAAAGAAGAGGAAAAAAGAGAGAGAAAGAAAGAGGAGGGGAGGGAGGAAGAAACCTGTCCCGGATTAACCCTGATGCCAAGCCTACTGGGCACAGCCCTGGGCAGTGGGCTTTGTGGGGACTCATGCCTGTCAGGCTGGCCTACAGATCGCTGGTGGACCTTGAACTGACCCTCCTGAGTGCTAGGCTGACAGGGGGCCACACTCAGTTTATGGGGGGCTGGGGACAGACACAGCTTCATGAACCCTACAAGTGCTGAACCAATGGGCCACACATCCCCAGGTGGTTTTGTTGGTCTTTCTCTTTCCTTGAGACAGTGTCTTACTATGTAATCCAGGCTGGCCTTCAGCTTGCTACTCTCCTGCCTGAGTCTTCCAGGAACTGGGCAAACAGATTTGTGTCTCCATCCCTGGCTTGAGCTATTTACAGGTTATCTAGTCTCTGATAGGAGACCTGGTTTCGTTTTCATATGAGACACAGTCTCAGGTAGCCCAGGCTGAACTAGAACTTGTTATGTAGCTGAGGATGACAGTGTGGGCCCTGGAGGGTCCAAGGCAGTTCATCAGGCTAAGCCATCTCCCAGCCCTCAGGTAGCCCAGGCTGGCCTTGAAAACTGTCAGCAATCCTCCCGCCTCAGCTTATTCCCACTTTGGTAGCATCCTCTAATACCTGAGCATGTTTAGCTTTGGTGATGTCCGGCTCAATTTACTTTTGATGTGTGCAGAGCCTGTGGAGCTTAGGGCTGGGATTCCCTGCAGCGGGAGCTGCAGACAGTTGTGCGCTGACAGATGTGGGTGCTGGGAATTGAACCCTGAGCCATCTCCCTGGTCCCAGGAGTCAAGCCCACCTGCCCACCAAAAACCCGCCCCATGGTGAACGTCCCAAATGCAGTCTGTCTAGGCAGCATCCTGAGTGCCCACCACCCTGAGTGCCCACCACAGTGGGCAGAGCAGAGCCAACTAAGAAGGCACAGCCAGTTCACAGCCCATGCCTTTAATCCCAGCACAGGAGGCAGAGGCAGGTGTACCTCTGTGAGTTCAAGGCCAGCCTGGTCTACAGAGCGAGATCCTGTCTCAAAACGAAGGGACAAAACAAAGCCCAGCTCACCAACAAACAAAATGAGTCTGCCCCAAGGGGATGGTTATTCAGATCAGACCTCACATTCAAGCTGGCCAGAGGAGCGCATGGGCATCAACCTTGGTGAAACGGAAGCACGGCAGAAATCTGGCTGAGTGCATGGCCTTCTCCATTTTCTGATGCTGGCACGAAACCTCTGGGGCTGAGGAACAAAGTTCTCGCAGTTATGGAGGCCAAATTCCAAGATCCTGTTGATGGAGCCCCCCCCCCCCCAGGAGTCACCAGCAAATGGCTAACAAAGGGCAGGAAGAGACAACTGGCCCAAGCTAGGCTTGGACTCAGGATCCTGCCTCAGTCTCCCCAGTGCTATTGTGGCAAGTGTGTCTCACCACCAGGCTTGACCTAAATCCTTTTGTTCCCTTGCGTGTGGTGCACTCGTGTGTGTGTGTGTGTGTGTGTGTGTGTGTGTGTGTGTGCGCGCGCGCATGTACATGTATGTATAAGCCAGCGGACATTCCCCTTACCCTGGAGCCACTGTTTTGGCTAGGCTGGATGCTGGGAGCCCCCAGGATCTACTGCCCCCACCCACAGTGCTGGGTCACAGGCCAATCTCGCCTCTCTGGGCTTTATCCATAAGTGCTGGGGGTGGGGCTTCCGTGCTCGTCACTAAGTCATTCAAACTCCTAAATTCCACTCTTTTTTCTTTTACTCGATTTGGGAGCGGTCTCCTTATGTAGGCCAAGATGACCTCTGCTTCCTGATTCTAAGTAAAGTCCTATGCTCCCAGCTGGCCCACAACCCCACTTTTGAAGGCCTGCTGGCAGTAGTAGTGGGAGAGAACCCTAGCTCCACACAGCACCACAGCAGCCTGAGCGTCTTGCTTAATATTTGGGGGTGTTGGCTCAAGCACACCAAGACTCACTGGTCCAGAAAAGAATTCCAGGATGAGGCAGCAGGCTGGTACTAGAAGACACTGTAAGGACATCTGTTGATTGATCTATGTATTGGGGTACAGGTGGAGGTTGGAGGACAACGTGTGTAAGTCGTCTCCTTCCAGCATGAGAGTCCCAGGGATCGAACTCAGTTCTTCAGGCTTCGCGACAATCACTTTTACCTGCTGAGCCATCTCGTTGGCCCCTAAAAGATTTTTTTAATTTAAATTTAAATTTTTGAAAAAAGACTTGTTTTTGTTTTCTGGGCATGTGTGTTTTTCTTGCATGTGTATTTGGGCACCAAATTCATGCCTGGGTGCCCACAGAAGGCAGAAGAGGG